GGGGGGGGGGGGGGGGGTGTTTGTGTGTGTTTGAGATGTCCGTGGCTGCTGTTTCAATGTATGCGTGCTTACCTGTGTGTGTGTGTGTGTGTGTGTGTGTAGCTGGAGAGGAGGGCCATGTTGCTGTCCCACAGCAGCGATAAGGAAAACACTCGGCAGCGTCTGCTGAGCGGAGCTAAGGGTCAGAGCTCCGCCTCCTTGTTAAACTGGAACAGGAAGAAGACGAGGGAAGGCGGCGGGGTCACTAAGAGACTAGGAAGCACTTTCAGTTTGTCGTTTGGAAGCATCCGAGACACTGAGGCCATGTACTGAGACATGACTGCAGAGGAGCCACTCAGGGAATCACAGCAGTGGAGCACAAGGTACGATCAGGACCGCATTCAGAGGGACAATAGCGCTGTACCAGGAAATATCAGCAGGAGACAAAAACAACAAAAAAGCACACGGTTTGTCCAGTAACATTGTTCCTGGCTTCTTTTTATTGCTACATCAGTCAAATGTCCAACTTCGTTGATTAGCAAATATGTGGAAGCAAACATACCAGGTTAGAACACCTACTAACACGTAGTTTAATACATTTTACCTTTCAAGAGTGAAGACCTGGCTATTGATGCCATGATCATTTTCCAGAGTCTGAGGAGTGTGCTGTACTCCTGTGTGCTGCCTGGGAGACAAAAGGTGCGTTGAGACAGAACGCAAAGACACTGTTAGATGTAGGCTGCTATAGAATTATTTTGAGACAGCAAGCCACAGACAGTCAAAGAATCATTTCTAATATTACTGAACTACATTGAAGTTTTTTCAGCAAACTACTGAGACTAACACAAAATAAAAAACAGGTGATGACGAGCAAATTAGGATTCTCACTTGAAAGCAAACGTAGCGTTTAGGTCTTATTGCACCCAGCTTGCCGATGTTGCGACGCAGCTGGCAACATCTTACTGAAAGCTCCTTCACTTAATTCTTCTTACATCATTTACGTTAACCTTACCGTACATATGTGTAGTGTAAAGTTGTAAAAGCAAGTTCCATATTTCTTGTGTCTTACAGTATTCTGTAACCTCAGAAGAAAAATATAACAGTCCTGTTCAACCACTTAAGTGCTCCAGATTTGAATCGGTTAATTACTGATCCTGTACATTGTACATCTACTATGATGGGTCCGTTCTTGGAGAAATGTTTTTGTTGATATTTTTAGATGATTAAAGGCACTTCAGAGGTTTTGATCCATTGTTTTGTAGTTTTGGTACTTTCATGCACTGTGAATATTGAAAAGGACAAATCTGTTAATGTATTGCAGACTTGATGTCTCAATAATGAACATGTGAGAGGTTGGGAGTTTTTTGTTTTTTTTTAAATGAAATGTGATACTGGGAGACTGTAGGAAAAGCATGTGGTGTCCAAAGCGTTGCATTTTTGTATTGTGTTGTATCTATTGTGTCCTTAATGGTGTCCAACCACTGTACTGTATGTTACAGTCAGCCAATATTAGAAAACTAGAGATGAAGATGTTCATGGATTGTTTTTTTCTTCTTTTAATTAACATTGTTTGAACTGTTTGTAAAATTCTGATATAACTAGACGTGGGAATTGTAGCACATTAATGTTGAAAAACGAATGCTGTCTTTTTTTACTTTTCTGAACAATGTATGTGCCATGATGGTCCATTGTGATGAGTACATACAGCCAGAGGAGACAAATAATGATTTCTCATGTTTTCACATGATCACAACGTAATTGTGCCGTGATGCAATCTCAAAAAAATTGCAAAGGCGCAGGATGTTTTTAATCCTCATAATCATTAAATTCATGTTGTGATCACAAAGTTACTTTCTGGTGAGTCGAAGAAAAAGCTGGTTCACTCTTTCCTCTTCAGCTTTCTGAACGATGTATTTGTGCGACTGAGTAAATATTTGTCACGACTGTTGTGAAGAGGAATACGTTTTCCTCTCATTTGCGTTTTTTTGACTGAATATCCGACCATCCCTTAATGACTGCATTTGGGGATTTGCACAGTATTGTTTTCATGTATAAATACAATAAAAGTGAATAATGAGCTACTGTCAGCTGCATCAGTGTGATTCAGCCCTCTCTACTACCTCAAAATGATAGTAAATGTCTATTACACACAAATATAATGTATTAGATTATTTATTCCTTCACAATGCTACTTTTTAGTTATTGGTTACTAGCAGTAGTGGTTTGCTGACATTGCTGGCTTCATTAGGATATTACTGTGTAAGATTCAGTCCTGTTGTGTGTACATATTACTGAAACACAGCAGATACAAAGATTTTAAGGTTTGTAAGGTGATTTATTAAACATCCAATGGGTTTTCAGGGATAGCTACGATGCAAATAATGTCCTTCTGGTCCAGTGGGATTTATTTATCATAGAACTGATGAATACCTCATCACTATCCTGTGGCAACACATATGCACAATGAAGGTGTGTAGCAGATGATCAAGTCCCAGACAGAGTTCATGAGAAGCTACTGATCCTCTTTTAAATTAATTATTTTTTTGCCTGAATCATAACCGCTGCTATCCAGTATGAAGAACGGGTGTATGTTCGTGGGACGTGCTGAGCAAAGAAGCACATGTCCCTCCATCACTTTAAATGACGGTTCCTGGGAATCCGACTGTAGGCGAGCTGGTTGGCGTCCCTACGATCCCCCGGGGACCACCGCCGACCCCAAGCCGCTCTGTTCCAGCTCCGCTATCACCAACATGTGCTTGAAGTCTGCAGGGCGGTGGTTAAATGTCTCTACCACTCGGTACGTCTCCTGCCTCTGCGTGCCGTAGAACAGCTGCACCTGGTTAGCCAAGCACTGAGCCTGGTGGACGGTCTGGGAAGGAGAAGTTTAGACGGGTTAACGTGGATCCAATGTTTGAGTCTTACACTACGGTCAGTTACTCCAAAACCATGAAGATCAACCTGCTGCTATAGCTGCTCTAACACGGCTTTCCACAAAATTATGGAATTATGTATGTTGACTGTAAATGATGAGGCAAAAAACACCATTACGGTCCATAAATAAGTGCATAGGCTTCAGCCACGGGAGTCCATACAGGTAAGGGACTCACAATGAACTTGGGGTCCAGCTCAGCAGTCATGAGGACCACACCCTTCTCATCCTTCAGGTCTGGGTAGTGGTAGAGGATCAGCTGACTGGGAGCGTTCTCGCCCTGCATCTGGACGCCAACAGGAAGAGAAAAACTGCAATTAACACCTCCAGGTAACGTGAGCTAAGAGTCTTAATGAGTCAAAAATACATTGTATATTATGCTGATTTAATGATGAAATCCCCTATAATGCTGAATTATAAGCAGTTTTCATGAGTTATTGCAGGCCACTGATCAAACCATAAACCTTGGTAACTGGAGATTTGGAAAACTAAAAAAGAAAAGCCTGTCAAGACACATGTTTGATCTCTACTACAACTTTACTGTATTCCAGACTTTAGAATAAATAAACAGACACATCTACTTAATACTACCTAAAGTGCAGTGTGCAAAAAGAAAAGAAGAGGATTATTGGAGATATTAGACTGATACTTACTACAGCACATTAGGCCCTTTTTAGGATTTCATTTCTGAATATTTCAGATATTTTTTTCTTGCAAATTTATGACTTCATAATCTCAGATCATAGTCAAGTTTATTGTAAAAAAAGAAATCTCTATAAATTAAGTTTTTCTTGGAATATTATTACCCTCTCCTGGCTCTGTAATTACTATTATTGGTATACCTTCAACGGCCCCAAAACACCGCTGTGGATAATAAATAAGGATGAAAGTCTGAAAAGACTTTGCTACACTGCAATCATCATGTATCTGTCAGGTACATGAAAAATATGATTTGTGTTCAGAACTGTTTGAACATTCCAGCTACAGCACAGATGAAGAAGCATCTTGTGTTGCACATGAAGTGAGCACATGAGCGCAGTGCTGTTAGAAGCCCAAAGAGTGCGAGACTTTCCCGGCAGCGTGTGAAGTGGTTCACCTGGACGTTGATGAGGGAGGTGAAGTGGAGCTCGTGTCCGGACCACTGACCCAAGAAGAACTCGTAGCCCTCCCTCTGAGGCAAAGCGTAGAGGAACTGACGAGACGGAACCCACAGACAGAGACTTCAGACTGATTTCAAACACATTTGTTTGGTGTGGCAGACAAAGTGAAAGCTTACAAAAGAACCCTTGTTTGTGGTTATAATGACAGACTGATAATCTGTCATCAACATGCGTCAGTGTGAGCAGCAGTGATCTTACCGCACGGCACGACTTTGATCTGCTCAACATCACCTCGTACATCGGTGTCTGCAATAAAGAGAAGGCCGGTTATTAGACCCACTGAGTTCTATTCATTTACTGTACAAGCATCATTGTGCAACTGCACAATATGTTATAGCAGTCTGCGTCAAACTGTGTGGAATATCAAAAGCATAAAGTTATGTGCACATCGAAATATGTTGAATGGTTAAAAAAATGTATTTGATTTATTTGAATTAATAAATCCAGGAGAAAAGATTTTTCAAGCAAAAGTTTAAAGACAATGATATTCAGGGGGGGGGGGGGGGGGATTGGGGTACTTGTTCCATAGCTCAAGATGAATCTCTCCACCATGGATGTAAAATATTATGTTAACAAAAAAAAGACTAAAACGCAGAAACACAAAATAAACTGGTCGTCTGCAACAAGAGGTACAAGTCACTAAAGTGAAATTACTTCTTGTTCAAGAAAAGAACCCGAATTTCGTGAATTCATCATTGGAAAAATATCTATCAAAAGACGTTCATGACATCAGTAAATGCGAAATGTTGAGACTGCTGTATCAGCATGTTCTCTGGTGTTACACTCACCGGGATGACGGCGCTGATCGTGTCTTTGCTCGAATAATAATTCATCCAAAGCTGAGAGAAGAACACAAAACAGTGAAAACAAAAAGGTCAGCTTCAGATGGCGTTCACTGGTGCACCACAAGGACTCAACAGGACTCAAGTGTCTGACCTCCACACACTCACCTCAGAGATCTCCTCGCCCGTCATGCCCCCGATCAGCTCCAGGTCGAGGATAGAGTCCAGTGTCTGAAGAACAACACATTACAAAGTCTGTTACCAGAACAAACTTCATCATCGTCATCATCACACTGTCAACGTTTCATTTTACATTTGGTCTGTTCTGTAAAGAACAGTTTGAACGCTGAGCAAAATGAATTTGGTGAGAGAACGTTTGGTTTGCAGACAAGAGTCCACAGAACGGGACCAAAGAATAACAAAAAGCTACGAAAATCGTGCCAAAAGAATTGATCGGTAAAAAATGCCTAAAGTTTGCTGGTTTCAGCTTTTCAACATGTGAAAATGTGTTTCATCACCATGAGTTAAATACCGTAGTCAGAAAATGTACTTTTAAGGACGTAATGTGTGACTTGATGAGTTGTGCCAACGCTTTTGTGATTATTTTGAGATTTATTGAGTATCATTTATTATTAAAAACAGAAAAGGTAACCCGGATGAGTCCTGAATATGGCCATAGAAACAGAATAAAAGGTAGAGTGACGTAGAAGCAACACAATGTAAGATTACGGCTGCTCGATCTGCTCACCTTGTTCTTTGTGAAACCTCCTGACGCTCTGCCGCTGGCAGCCATCTTGTCCTTTTTCTCCAACTGCAAAGATTCCCACAAGAGAAGTGGCATCACATTCATAACTCGTCACAGGAATATGAAGAAATGTAATCTGATCCTTCATTATGTAGATAATAAACATGCTCACAGGAGTATTGTTTTGTCCAACTATTGAGGACATTATGCACGCCGTTACCAGCTCAAGGTGAAAAGTTTTAGGTAAACGTTTGCCGACATTTTGGGGTAAAAGTTTGAAGACTTTCATTGATTCGGTGATCTCACAATCTATCAGACGACTGCTTAAACACGTGTTTAAATTTCTGATGTTAATATGTTCGATACTTCCAGAGTACCGTCATGGTGTTCTCTGCTCTGTACTGAGCCCGGTTCGTACTGCACCTCCTGCTCCATGAGCCCGATGAACTCCGCTTGCTTCGAGTGTCCCAGCACATCCTTCTTGGCCTCGTGCCGGTTCTCAAGTCGGGCCTTGTACTCCTGTGGTTTGGCGCTGAGAACAAATCAGACATCAGATCAGTGAAACACCAGCAACTTTCAAAAAGGCTAAATCCTCTTTCATCTTCATGAGGCGAGATGCCTTGCATTCTGCTACTTTAGCTAGTGACTCCCAGCATTCCTCATGCTGCTTTAAAGTTACTAACTAAGAGAAGAGTCCTCAGCTCGGTGAAGCGTCATACTAACGGTCATGTTTTACCGAGCAACAAGATGTGTCTGCTGACCATTATTTTGAGAAAATATATTGTCTTGTAAAATTATTTTCAATCTGGTTTAAGATAGATAATACTATGAAATTCATTATTCAGTGTGTATTTCTGTCTTTGCATCACGGTAAAGTGTTCAAAAGCACGCAAAATGTGTTGCTTTCCTCGATTAGAAAATTCTACTTCTCAAAAGCATTCATATCTATATTCAAAAACCGTGGTGCTGAAATATTCAGCCCAAAGGGGAAATCAATTAGTAAACCTAGATAGCAGGAAAGTGATCATTTCATTTTGGTTGTTGCTGTTCAGAAGCTGACTCCCAGATCTCAGGTACACACAAACAGGCAAGTTCTTAGAAAGCTCCTGATTTTAAACAATTGAATTATTTAAGTCGTTTATCGAGCAGAAACCCAAACCTTTTCTGTTCACGTCTTCTCAGATGGAATGATTTTGTGATCTCTGGGAATTGTTTTTGGTCAGACACGAGGAACTTGACCTACATGTGTCACTGTTCACTGGTACTTTAGAGCCGCTAATGATTCATCAAGGAAAGAATCCAAAGATTTAGTTAGAGTGAAAAGCACTATTGGCAAAGCCATTTTAACCCATCACTTGTGTATCTTAAACAACACCTAAACTAAGTATTCCAATATACTATTTTTATGGCGTCGGAACATTCAAACAATATTTGTCAACATGAGCTCTCAAAGCCAAAAAACTCTTTACTTTTTTAGTTTTTACCTTGTGATCTCATCAAGTCTTAGGTATTAAGTCAAGTAGTATGCCTCTACATAGACAATGAATGGGAGACTCATTTCGTTGAACTACAACAAAATTTTTGTTATTTTTTATACCCAAATGAGTAGTTGTAGAAGTATTGTTCTCAGTTCTGAAACAGAAAATGTACAACACTTAAACACTCCCCTGGATGCTCTGTGTCATCTATAACATCTTCCCCAATTCAGTCTATGGAGCTGTTCCAAATTTCTTAATTAGTTTTAGCACTCTAGTACTTGGATTTGGGAGAGAGTTGGTCATCTTTCCTAACATATTTGGACCGTCATAGATCATAGGAATAACATTAATGAAAATTGAAAAGTAGTTCACCTACTCACTGCTCAGGTGTGCATGTCAAGGGGAGGAGCCTAATTAAACTAGTTATTATAACGGGGTTAGGGTTAGCTTTTAAATATGAGACCTCAAAATAACCCAACCATCCTCTCATAGACCTGTGAATCAAAAGGGTCGACTATCATAGTACAGCTGACGTTCCGATTAATCCCCAAGCTTCTGCACAAGTTACACTTTGTGTGAAACCATAAAAAGAGAAGTAATAAGTGAATACAGGCGAGTCAGATGTAAATGTTATAATTTAATGAGCAGATACACTGCTTTATGTTGCAAATGTGAACCAAATACGTCATTATCTCATCATAATTTCGATTAAATTATTTCTGATAGTCTAACTAGTATTCACACTTGTCAATAGTCTAATTACTTTTAAATATTAGATTTAGCTAAAGAAGATTCGGACACAGCGGGTGTGACGCTGAATCGCTGGTAGCTAGCTACTGACCTGCGCAGCTTCTGGATTTTGTCCTGGTACTTGCTGAAGTACGGGTTCTCCTCCAGTTCTGGCTCCTTCCGCACCGAGAAGGCCCGGAACTGCGCCGGGACCAGCCCGGGGATCAGCGTTCTGATGCCGGTGGCCCTGACCGCTAACATCCCTCGGTACAAACATGCCATTTGTACAATGGCCGCCGCCATCTTTCCATCGCCTCCGTCCAGCATCTATACTGTTCCGGCGGGGAACGGCTTCAAAACATTGGTTCCGACGAAGGCGACAAATAATTAGTAGGCCTACTGTAACCCCAGTTTGAATGGTTTTATTTTTCTCATGAAAACAAAATATAGTTAGCCTATAATGGACTGAAGAGTTCTGATGAGCAAAGATACGATAGTAAGTAAACCGTCTTTATTTATCCGAGGGAAACAGGAAAAACAGACCCAGAACAAAAGCACACAAAACACACGTCTGTTAGCCTTTCTCTCATATATTTAATGGCACTTTGAGTGATTTTCAGAATATTTTTCAATATATGCATGACATAGAAGTGAATAATTAGCAACTTTAAATCTACAGCAGCTGAATGTAGTCCTGATATGTTGAGACCACTGGAGGTCAGTATGTCTCTTCATTGAGAACTCAGTCTGAATATTTACACATGCATGAAAGCTGCTGCTCACTGATATCTGAACACGGTGAATCACTGCAGTAATCTACCTCCACAAACACTGCTCAGATTGACAAATAAATAAATGAGTAGATAAGTAGGCTACAGTAAACAATCTGCTCCAACTCTCCAGAGTCACTTACTGATGTACTCATCTTTTCCTCTGTCTGTGTTTGTGTGTGTGTGTGTGTGTGTGCGCACTAACAGACACGACGCTGGCTGTAAATTTTATGACTTTTGTGTTTCCCCGATGACCGTCTGAGTGCTTCTGTGTTTACTTTCCACAACCAATCGTTTTCAATCACTAATCAATAAACGAAGCAGCTGGGAGCTGTTCCACGTACATCTGGGTCCCAGCAGATGATGATGGTGGCTGATGTGCATGTGTTAATGTGTGCATACATTCAGCACAGATAATACCATTGCATGTGGTACACAAAGATACATTTTGAACAGCATTTTTTTGTTTAGTTTTTCTGTATTTATTATTGTTTTGTTTTTCAATGTAGGCTCAGTGTGAGTTTCTAATTACAATGATGTAGCTGCATGTTAGTTTTTTTTTGTAATTATGGAACTGCAGAATCATAAATTATCATGTAAGGTTTTTTTTGCAAAGGACAAACAATATCTAAATGTAGGCCTAGATTGTAACTGGGATGCTGTACTAAAGTCTATATGACATCACATAATCATGTTGATCAGCACAGAATGATGGTGTGTGTGTGTGTGTGTGTGTGTGTGTGTGTGTGTGTGTGTGTGTGTGTGTGTGTGTGTATGGACTTAAATTAAGGTTCACATGATGACAGGAGACAACCGCCCTGCCTTTTCAATCACCATTGCTAGATGTATCGGGTGAGTTTCTGTTCCTATAATACATGTTGACCTGCTGGTGAAAACAGTGTACTAACGGTGTAAGTATTTTGCAAGAGGTGGTGGTTTTAGCACAGTGTTACCACATTTAAGTTGGTGTACCAGTTCAATGATCAAATAACTTTGTTTTAAGGAAGTGTCTTTGTTTGTTTTTTTTTTGCTTCCATCCACCAATTCTATTTTCTCCGCCAGAGATTATACGTTCGGTTGTGTACAAGTGTGTACATGTGTTTGTCCGCAGCTAATTTTTGCACACTACTGGACCCATCAGCTTTATTCTTTTTGTGCTCAGAATTGGCTGTGCATGTGCTTAAGGACCTTTTGTTGTTTTGGTGATTTACAATTTTTGAAAAAAACAATTTTATTGACTGTTTTATACCCTCATTGACTGCTGACTCCTGTAAAGAGAGCTACTTAGCTGTTGGCAGCAGAGTCCTGTGGTAATGTAACCTGTGTATTGTCTCCCTTATATTTCACGACTGTCATGCATACACGCTGGACACACACACACACACACACACACACACACACACACACACACACACA